AAGTGTTACTGAATTACATTCTATAATTGCACAAGCTTTCTCTAATTGTACACTAACATATATGACTAGCAATGAGCTTGTAATTAAGCACTCAGCACTGATAATCATAAACAATCATATGAACATTGTTGTGGCTAAAATATAAAAAAGTAAATACAGATAACTCAAAAATAAACTACTCTGAGATTTTGACATATATTGACAAATAGAAAATACGCACCAATACTTTTAGAAATCAATACCTTATCACTTGGTTGAGATGACTCTATGTTATTGGTGGTGGGCAGGCTGTTTAACATTGACACAGTTTTTGTTTCTAATGCAAAGTATGTTTTTCCATAGTATTGTTTCCATAAGACCTTTCCATAATATTGTTTGATAACAAGGTTTTTGTATTATTGTTTGAAAGCACACGTATTAATATGCACTGTAAATTAGGTCTTAAAAAAGTATAATTCTGGGGGCTGGCCCCGTGGCTGAGTGGTTAAGTTCGCGCGCTCTGCTGCAGGCGGCCCAGTGTTTCATTGGTTCGAATCCTGGGTGCGGACATGGCACTGCTCATCAAACCACGCTGAGGCAGCGTCCCACATGCCACAACTAGAAGGACCCACAACGAAGAATATACAACTATGTACTGGGGGGCTTTGGGGAGAAAAAGGAAAAAAAAAATTAAAAAAAGAAAGTATAATTCTGCAAAATAAATTTTCACAATAATGAGGATTATTGATCTTACACTAGATGAGAAGGCAATAACAAACCTCTTTAGAAAAATAGCCTTAAAAAGTCCACTTTTAGAGTCATCTTTGTAAGTTACCCTTTACTGTTTCAGTTTGGGCTGCTATAGAAAACTGCCACAGCATGGGGGCTTACACAGCAAACGTTTGTGTCTCCATCTCTCGGGTTGGGAAGCCCCAGGTCAAGGTGCTGGCAGGCCAGGTGTCTGGTGAGGCCGCTTCTTGGTTGTCATGGTCACCTGCTTACTGCCTCTTCATGTTGGAGAGCAGAGGGGAAGCAGGTTCTCTCCTCCCTCCTTACCAGGGTATGGATCCCACTCAGAGAGCTCCACCCTCACCAGCCATCGCCTCTCAATGACACCACATCAGGGGTTAGGAACTCAATATAGGAAGCGTTTTTGCAGGGGAGCGAGACACAAACATTCAATCCATAACATACTCAGTTCAGGGTCATGCAGCTGCATCTAATTCAAACTGGAAGGAAAAACTTTCCTTAATGTTTTTTACTTTTGAAAAGACTTTTGTATTTTCCTCAGGACATTAGTAGTCATTACAATCAACATCAGAATAAATCAATCAGAAGGTATTTCTTCTATAATAATCCAATACTTCTTCTGAAAGAAATCATATATATATGTGATCTGTGTATCATATATGTTCAGAATTCTTTTCGACACCGTGTAGTAATCCTTAGGTACTAGGAGCCCTTCTTGACTAAACAAGCTATGTATCTATCTTAAAATATTAAATACTTGCATTTATTTCATCTATCTTTATTGCTTATATTATTATGAAAATAAAAATAACTACATGTTAAATTTGGAATATTTGAAAATAATAAAGAAAAATATTGTTACATGTTATACAGAGATAGCCACCTTTAAAAAACATATAGTAGCATAATTTCCTCCCATCCTTTTTTTTTAAAGATTTTATTTTTTTCCTTTTTCTCCCCAAAGCACCCCCATACATAGTTGTATATTCTTCATTGTGGGTCCTTCTGGTTGTGGCATGTGGGACGCTGCCTCAGCGTGGCTTGATGAGCAGTGCCATGTCCGCGCCCAGGATTCGAACCAACGAAACACTGGGCCGCCTGCAGCAGAGCACGCAGACCTAACTACTTGGCCACGGGGCGAGCCCCACCTCCCATCCTTTTTAATGCAGTTTTTACATGGTTGAGATGACATTGCAACAGAGTAAGGAGAGGTCCAACTTGTGGAGCACTTCCTAAGCGCCAGACAACCTGCCAAGCACTTCACACACAATGTATCAGCACCCATGGCCAGGTGTGCAACAGATGGGAAACTGAGCGTGAGTGAGCTTCATGGCCAAGGCCATACAGCTGGTAAGGGGCCAGGTTCACTGTATCAGCACCCAGGGCCAGGTGTGCTACAGACGGGAAACCGAGCATGAGCGAGCTTCATGCCCAACGCCATACAGCTGGTAAGCGGCCGAGTTCACTGTATTAGCACCCAGGGCCAGGTGTTCCACAGACGGGAAACTGAGTATGAGTGAGCTTCATGCCCAAGGCCATACAGCTGGTAAGGGGTCAGGTTCACTGTAGCACAAGTTTGACAAGTATACTCTTAACCATTACATTTATACAATTTTCTTTGTTTACCATCATAACTAAATCTTCATGTTATTAACAAATCCTTGCAACTACCACGTAAAAGAAAAATTTCAAAGCTCCTGTAGGATTAGGTCCAGCTCACTGAAGCCTTGCAGTCAAGGAGTAATAATATTTTAAAAGTCTCTGTAAATTTTAAGAGTGAAAATGGAATATCGTTGTTGAAGTTAAAATGCATTTGCCTACTAGAGACTTTGAATGCTTTTATATGCTTATTAGGCATTTATTTCCAAAGAAATTATTTCTCAAATAAGCACAATGTCAACTGTAAACTACAGAATGACTATTGGAACACATGCAGTCTTACGTCATTGACTCTGGTATACGGGAGTGGTAGAGCAGGTGGAGGCACTGGAAGACCTCGTTGAAAAATCTGAAACTATTTAGATTTGTTCTCTTTCATTGTTTCAAATTAAACTAGTTTAATAAAGTTAGCAAATCTATTCATTTTCACCTGATACCAGTTGCATTAATGGAGATAAGACAAACAACTAGTATTTCAATTCTTATCTATTTGTTTGAAGTTCCTAAAGATGGCTGGTCCTAAGACTTTAAAATTCTCTCCTTAAAATTTGTTTACATCATTAATTTTCAGATCTAAAGAAAAAACAGTAAAAGAAAACGACATTTACTAAGCAAAGGTAAATGCCAACCAAAGCCTTATGTGAAATACTACAGAATCATGGATTAATGCAGTTTTAATGCATTTCCAATACCTGGTTATTCTGATTTCCTCTCTAAATTCACTATTTCCACTGGAACCTATTTAATACAAGAATTAGAGCCACTGATGCATTTAGTTTGATTTATCTAGTGACAATATCCCAATTATCCTCCTAGGCAAACTATTTTCTTGAGAATAAATCTAATTTTGGTTTAATACTCCAGATAATTTTAACTCATTTTCTGTATATCTTGACAACAGTAATTATGAAAGAAAAAAACTATTATGGATATATTATTATGAAATGCAGAGAAAATACCACTTCCAAAAAGACATACATAGTTTTAGTAGGTGTTCATGAACTATGACCTTGAAAGTTACAAGAATATGCCAGAAATCATTAGCACCTCCAAGCCACAGAAGGGTAGAAGCCTGTGGCTGACAGGCCGGGAGTTCTGTGATTTGAGAGGTGGTGGGTGGGCAGCAATATCCTGCTCCCTGATACCTCCTGCCTGGAGCGCTGGTAGATGGGCACTGGCTTCATGACTCGTTTCACGGGAGAACTTTAACCTTTACCTCAACGTTTATGTGAAATTTAAGCTGTACTAAGTATGTACTTAATTTGAATTTGCTGGATCAGATGTCTACCTTCTCCTGAATTTCCTAATTAGCAGTCACCTGATTAACAGTCTACTTCTCTATGGAGGCATGGCATGAGATAACCAACCATGTCTACAGAGGAAACAACTGAATACATTTTAGGCTGTAAGAAAAATAACAATCAACCCCACGAATTTGCAGAAGTCGATATTTAAGAAATGAACTTCAGAGAACATAAATCAGAAGTACTACAGAAGGTCTGAGCTTCTGAAGATGGACAAGAGTGTCACCTGGACAAGCCCATCATGTCTGTCACGTGAACATACACAGCTGGGGACAACCTTCCTGCAGACTGAGCTGGTAAATGTACCAAAAGACCTAAAGGATGCATAAGACATCCATCATGGCAATGATTACGTTACAACAAGAAAAAAAAGAAACCAGAAGAATGATTAGGGAAAAGTTTTATGACAATATTCAGTTAAAGGCGAGTCTACGTAGGATGGCCTCAACAAGGCTAACATGTGTAAGTATACATTTGTACGTGTGCATAAAAATATAAAGACCAAAGGTTTTTGACAGTATTTATCTCTCAGTAGTAGGAATACCGGTGATTCTTTATATTATTCTATATGTTTCTATTTTGAGTATATAGTCCTATAAAAATAAAAAAAAATTATTTAAAACAAATACAAGGACCAGCAGCAACACTAACATCTTAATGAAACTCAAATTGCACCAGAGCATGCAATCTGGGGTTTAGATGACCTGGCAGAAGCACATATCTTAGGTCTTTTTAGTAATATTAAACAATAAGAATTTGATCTGAAGGTTTTATAAACATGACCAATATACTTTCTGTCTCTTGGAAGCTAAAAATACATGTAGATATAAAATTCTAGCTAAAGAAAACATTACTGAAAGGCAACTCTAGCGTTTCCAGGTTACTAACAAGCTATTTTTTTAAATTATCTTCTTTCTTTTTCTTTTCTCTCATTATCTTCTAAAAATGTACTATAAACCAAGGGATGTTATCTTCATTAGAAATCATTCATTTGTTCATTCATTCAGTTAGTAACTATTTTTAAGCACTTGCTACGTGTGAAACATTGTTTCAGGCATCAGGGATGCTGAATAAATAAAATAAGGTTCTTGTCTGCTAGAGGAGCGAGTGTTATCTCCAGCAGGTAACAATGAAGTGATAGGAATGAAACAGCATTCATTAATACACTATACTTTATAGAGAGTAGAAAACAAAAGTTATAATGTCTCTGTTTAACGAAGAACATAAAAGTATCTCTTTTACTTAGTCTAAGGCGTGTATTTTTCTTATTTAGTTAATTAAAGAAATTGAAATTGCTTGATTACTTACCCCAATATTAAACATCCCCGTAAAATACTCCATATTTGCTTGAATGAACCAAATGTTGCTTAAACCTAGTTCGTCACTTCTCTTCTTAGCACGAATTAATGATAATTCCTTGTTTTCTATTAATGTAACCTAGATTTCACCAAGGAAACAACAGTATATTCAGTAACATAATTCAGACATTAGGGCAAAGTACTATTACTGTATTTCATAGCTTTAATAATGTAGGACATATTACATTGATTCTTATCCTGTGCCAGGAAGTATGCCAGATAACGTGGTACCAAAATGGTCAAGGTCCTTGAGCTGATGAAGCTGGCAGATGAGGTGGTAGAAGGGAAATGGGCAACTGTCATACAGTGACGAGAGTTCGATGAAAGATTCTCATGTGTCATCAGAGTGCTAACTCGATGACTGGGGCAGGTTTCAGTCATTTAACATGGAGAAATAACACTTTAACTGAGGCCTGAACAATGACTAGAGATTAGCTGGGGGAAAGAAGGAGTGTTTCAGGCAGAGACAGAAACATGTGTGAGCCCCAGGTGAGAAACACACGGTGTGACTGAAGAGGTGGCAGTGTGTGGCGGGGCTGTGGGCAGGAGGACAGGGTGTGGAGGCGGGGATGAAGCTGGAGAGGTAAGGGAGCAGACAGCGTGTGGGAAAGAAGGCTCAGCGGCTGCAGTGTACAGTACGGACTGTGGGACAGGCGGAAGGCGCAACCACCAGGACACTCTCACAGTATCCAGGCCAAGGGAGGTAGGGTAAGACCCCTGGTGTGGATGGAGAAAAGTGGGCAGAGTCACTTTCATGCTATCATTCCCACTTCTACCCTTTCATGCTTCTCTTTATGGAAAAATCCTGGATCACGGTGCATGAAAAAGCTGTCAGAGCCTTGGTGTCAGAGGCTTTCCAGACTTTATTCTAGCCAAGACCTCCCTTCTCCAGGTTCAACGTCTCTAAGCTTCCAGGAGAACTGTCAGGAAGGGAAAACAACACTACCTTCTCGACTCTGCTTCTCCAGGATCCTACTTTACGAGCTTTCTTCCTCTTACACCAACTATGAAATTGTTGCTTTCCTTAATAATAAAACACCTGCCTGTTCCTCCCAGGATTCCTTATTTATTTGCTGTTCGTTCTCTAAGAAAGGAAAAGAATAACCACCCCGCCCCGCATCCTTCCCTTACATGTCATCTGGCCAGTCTATGAGTTCTTCCACATATTTTTCCTCTGGAAGTAGTCACTGTAATTATTTTGCGTCTTCCAGAGAGCTCACAAGCAAAGAATCTGCCCCAGGTCAATTTGTAATAAAAAAAGGACATCAAATTCTAGATTTTCATGTTAAAAGATGGTCGCCATGAAGAACTGATTTAATATTGCAGAAACTTCCAACAAACGGTGGCAACAACTGGATAAATTATGGTACATGTACATAAAACACATGGAGTCACTAAAACATGATGATACTTAAAACTATTTGCAATAGGGAAAAACATTTACGATGCAATATTCAGTGAAAGCAGGTGGCTAAAAGTGTATTTGCATTTTTAGAATCTGCAACAATAAGCATCCACATGGACAATGACCTGATGAGACCATGGGGAGAAAAGCATTTGATGGCTCAGTCTGATAGATTTGTTTTTGTTTTTTTTCTTTAAAAAGCTTTATCATTGATGTTGCAATTTTGATACAATGGATGAAAATCAGGATACCAAGAGAACATGCTCAGTAAGTTTCAGAAGCTAGTGTTTCTAGTACAAAATTATGTTGAAAATAAACCAGTTTCATCACAGTTATTTTATTTATCATTGGAATAGGTATTTCTTCTAAAAAATTATTTTAAAATATAATCTTTTTATAAAAATTGAAAACTGTGGTAATTTACTTTTTCCCTTAAGATTCTGAGCATTGGAAGTTTACTTCAAAGAAAAAAGAAAATGCCTGTGCCTTGCATTTGACCTGGGTGATTGATTATAAACTCAAGGAACAGAGACAAGCCAGACGTGGCTACCTGAATTGTGTGGTTTTCTGGTGTTGTCTTCTGTTTTGTTTTTTTTTGTTTTTGGAAACAAAGACTGCCCCTGAGCTAACATCTGTGCCAGCCTTCCTCTTTTTGTATGTGGGATGCCACCACAGCATGGCCTGATGAGCTGTGTGTAGGTCCACACGCGGGATCTAAACCTGTGAACCCTGGGCTGCCAAAGCAGAGCGTGTGAACTTTGCTGTGCTGTGGGGCCGGCCCCCGGTGTTTCCTTTTATCTCTGATTCAGACCGTACCTGGCATGACGGCAGCATGTGAGCAAGGACAATCCCGACGTGGCCCTGAGAGGCAGAAGAAGAAACAAGTTAACGCTGTCCCTCAGGCTTCTGCTCACTCTGTGGTGACAATCTTGCCAAATACAAACACGACCCTGACTGGAGCACATTTAAGTCACAGAGTCATGGAAATGTCAAGGAGAACACAGGAGAGCCATAATACCCCGCCGCTGCAGAAGTCCACGATCCTGTCCCCAGGCCTGGCCTGATGTGTCACCACGTAGACTAGGTTGTTCAACTGCTGCTGCTTCCTCAGCGCTCGGTCACTGGACATCTTCCCTGGAAGCACAGAGAGGAAGAGCGTGGAGCGCCACGTACTGTGATGGACGGAGAAGATGCTTGTAGAGCAGACCCCGCACACAGGAGGGGAATGCATACACCAACGACAAGTTCCCTATAACCCACCACGAGAGGGCGAGGGGCCAGAACCCTAAGATAAACCCTATTTTTGCATATTTCTACTTTTATTCCTATCCAAGTTTTCTTCCATTGACAGAAAAATCTATGAAAAGATGTCTTCTAAACAGAGGAAACAGCAAGTGAAACATTAAGTTCAGAGTCTTAAACAAGGAAAGTGTTCAATAAATGTCTGCTGGATGAATAAAAAGGAACAGCAACAGTCTCCTCCCTCTAGCCCTCTCAGAGACACACGGTAGAGATCACCCGGTTCAACACATTGCTCAAGTCCCTGTGGAAAACAGAGCTCTATAATCAGTGAAAACATTTTTATCATCTACCTGGCACATCCCTGAACTCTCAGCTCTTCTGGTTAGACACCTGGAACACAGGTGTTACCCTGTCTGAAACACATCAGTGGTTACCGGAGTTAGAGAGGAACTGGATTTTCTCATTTCTGCTTTGAAGTTTCCTTTCCTCATGAGTCAGATACAGAAATTTAATGCAATTAGAGATTAAAGATAGGGCATTTCCAAGTACAAAATGCCTTCGGCCTAGTAGCATGAAAACATCTTAACTTTCCTTTCAAAACCACTAGTTAAGTTCATGAAAATATCTTCAGAAGAATGAATGAAATTACTTGTTTTTACATATTTTAAGTGCATGTTTTATAAGAGCAAGATTAAGAAAATGTAAGAAAGCAGATTTCAGCGATATAGATAAAAGGAGAAACCCAGATAATCTTTTTGGCTTGATCAAAAATTATTTACAGGGCCGGTCCCGTGGCCGAGTGGTTAAGTCCGAGCACTCCGCTTCGGCGTCCCAGGGTTTTGCTGGTTCAGATCCTGGGTTCAGAGATGGCACCGCTCATCAGGCCTCCTTGAGGCGGCGTCCCACATGCCACAACTAGACGATCCACAACTAAAATATACAACTATGTAGTGGAGGGATTTAGGGAGAAAAGGCAGAAAGAAAGAAAAAAAAAAAAGATTGGCAATGGTTGTTAGCTCAGGCGCCAATCTTTCAAAAAAAAAAAAATCATTTACAGATACCAAGGTTTCCCTGCTCCATTTTCACAGAAAAATAGCATGGCTTTTTTTTTTTCTTCTCTTTCCTGTTTTCCTTCTTTCTTATGTTACTAAATTAAATAAAAACATTGGGAAAATTTCATTTTAGGAAAAAACAGAAAATATGGATATAAAAGATCTATAGGAGAAACAAATATCCATAAACTCATCATTCAGAGGCAATATTTTTGTATATATTTACTTCCAGCCATACGCATAAATTCAAAGTTTTATATACAGCACATAAAACATTCTATTATAACTCTTTGCATGTCAGTGTGTTTGTGTCTACACCACAAGTTTTAATGGCTACACAGTACTCCATGGCCTCCGCTGACACCATACACCATACCTTCCGTAACCAGCTTCTTAGGTAATGACGTGTCATCACCAGACAGCTGAATCTTTGTGAACATTCTTAATTATTTAGCATGGCCTACTGTGAATGTCAAACATGAAGAGCATTTAAATCAATAGTCTGGTGACTTCATTTGTGAACACAGTTTCATGTAGCTTTAAAAAGAACTGTTTCCATTTTTCTCTAATAACATAATTGTAAAAAATTTAAACAGAGTAAGTGAAAGCTCCTGTCATTCTATCTTTCATGGATAACCACTCTCAAGAAATTTTATTATGACCATTTTCAAACACATAACAAAGCTGAAAGAATCTTATAGTGGACGCTTCTATACCCTCTATCTAGATTCCACCATTAACAACTTACTATACTTGGTTTATCACACTTCTACCCATCTATCCATCCCTCTATCCATCCATTTATAAGTCCACCTTATTTTTTTACGGCAATGTAGTTCTGATTTGGAGGAGGAAGAATAAGAACAAAGAGGAGGCGGAATGGGGAGAAAGAGGCAAAAAAGAAAAGCACCTTTGAGCCCTTGGGAGAGCTAGAGTCACAAATGGTGCTACTGAGTGGAGCCACCAAGAGCAAGGAACAAGCAGAAGCATTTCTGTTTTTGCTCTGTTTGTGAATTTCTTAACAATTCTCAGGTAAGGACTTTCACAAAAGAAAGTCAAAGGAATTATCATTTGTTTAGAATAAGGAGACAAGAAAATAAAATGTATAAATGGAGTAGGTAATAGCAAGTTCTGTACTATATTTCTATTAGAGATTTAGAATTACCTGACTTTCTTAGGTCTGTTTTAAAAGCAAACGTTGATAAAGATCTGTTTTTCTTGCTAAGGGTGCATCTTTGCACGTAAAGAATCCATGCTGAAGTGAAGGCTGAAGGCACAGAGCTACTTTTCAGGGTTGTGTTTAAGTAGAGAGACTATCAACCTACACATAACAGTCACAGATTGAGCTAAAAATATAGCAGCAAGAGGCCCAGATGCTTTATGGAAAAATTGTCTCCAATAAAGCATTCCTCCTCCCCATTCCAGTTTTACAAATATTATGAAGCTCCTGGAAACATGAGCAGCATCTCAAATACACTGAACAAGGTAAGAAAGTCATTATTTTGAGATATGGTGTTAATTTAAAAATCAAATCTTACTTTCTATTTATAACCAATATTCTTGTGCCTAAGACATTATAATCTATTTTTAGTTTGACTAAAAATGGTGGTTCTTTAGGTATCATCATCAAAAAAGAAACCCAAGAATCAAATAGTTTAATACAAATGATCTCATTTGTTCTGTGATGTAATTCCACCACAATGGGGTCTTTTTCTTGTCTAATTCAAGTTACGAAGAACCTGATTATTTAGACAACTTCAATGTTGTTTGCATTGCCCAGAAAGAAAGTACAAGGGTAAAAGAGCCAATTTTTAAGCTAAGGAAGAGCCATATTAGAACACTAGCATTTTTGGCCAGTGCAAATCATCAAATAAGGCAAAAAAAAAACAAGAAAAAAACATCCACACCAAACCCAAAACAAAAAAACAAACCATGGATGGAAAATGTGCACACGCACAGCCAGGACAGCTGCTCAGTCTAGTAAACCATGGATGGAAAATGTGCACACGCACAGCCAGGACAGCTGCTCAGTCTAGTAAACAAACCATGGATGGAAAATGTGCACACGTACAGCCAGGACAGCTGCTCAGTCTAGTAAACAAACCATGGATGGAAAATGTGCACACGCACAGCCAGGACAGCTGCTCAGTCTAGTAAACAAACCATGGATGGAAAATGTGCACACGTACAGCCAGGACAGCTGCTCAGTCTAGTAAACCATGGATGGAAAATGTGCACACGTACAGCCAGGACAGCTGCTCAGTCTAGTAAACCATGGATGGAAAATGTGCACACGCACAGCCAGGACAGCTGCTCAGTCTAGTAAACAAACCATGGATGGAAAATGTGCACACGTACAGCCAGGACAGCTGCTCAGTCTAGTAAACAAACCATGGATGGAAAATGTGCACACGTACAGCCAGGACAGCAGCTCAGTCTAGTAAACAAACCATGGATGGAAAATGTGCACACGTACAGCCAGGACAGCTGCTCAGTCTAGTAAACCATGGATGGAAAATGTGCACACGCACAGCCAGGACAGCTGCTCAGTCTAGTAAACAAACCATGGATGGAAAATGTGCACAAGTACAGCCAGGACAGCTGCTCAGTCTAGTAAACCATGGATGGAAAATGTGCACACGCACAGCCAGGACAGCTGCTCAGTCTAGTAAACAAACCATGGATGGAAAATGTGCACACGCACAGCCAGGACAGCTGCTCAGTCTAGTAAACAAACCATGGATGGAAAATGTGCACACGCACAGCCAGGACAGCTGCTCAGTCTAGTAAACTAACCATGGATGGAAAATGTGCACACGTACAGCCAGGACAGCTGCTCAGTCTAGTAAACAAACCATGGATGGAAAATGTGCACACGTACAGCCAGGACAGCTGCTCAGTCTAGTAAACCATGGATGGAAAATGTGCACACGCACAGCCAGGACAGCTGCTCAGTCTAGTAAACCATGGATGGAAAATGTGCACACGCACAGCCAGGACAGCTGCTCAGTCTAGTAAACAAACCATGGATGGAAAATGTGCACACGCACAGCCAGGACAGCTGCTCAGTCTAGTAAACAAACCATGGATGGAAAATGTGCACACGTACAGCCAGGACAGCTGCTCAGTCTAGTAAACCATGGATGGAAAATGTGCACACGCACAGCCAGGACAGCTGCTCAGTCTAGTAAACCATGGATGGAAAATGTGCACACGCACAGCCAGGACAGCTGCTCAGTCTAGCAAACCATGCTCAAGATCAGGCAGCTCTTAATTTTTTTGTTTCTGAGTCTGAAGCAACAAAGTACCTTGAATGTTATAACTTACTGGTAGAAGAAGAATGGTTGGGTGCTTTGATACATATTAGAGTTCTTTTTCTTTTGATAAGGAAGATTGTGGCTGAGCTAACATCTGTGCCAGTCTTCCTCTTTTTGTATGTGGGATGCCATCACAGCATGGCTTGATGAGTGGTGTGTAGGTCCACACCCGAGATTCAAACCTGTGAACCCTGGGCTGCCAAAGCAGAGCAGAGGAACTTAACCACTACACCACCAGGCTGGCCCTCTAGAGTTCTTGACTAAAGACTGGTTTGCTGTTTTGTTTTCAAAGTATTTCCTTGAGATATAGCACACTAAGCACACTCCACAAATTTTTAAAAAATATAATTAAAGATAAAGACAAAGAAAAAGGCTTAAACTAATGGTTTAGAGATTTTTAAAATGTGTTTTGTTTGGGAAGCCATAAAATCAAGAGAGCAAGAGTAAATTTCAACAGAGACGGATGTAGTAGAGATGTTCTCTTCTAGAGAAGGCGCAAGACAACTGAATAGACAAGGTGGCA